CCATGTAGTACGTCGCCGCGAACCCAGAGTGGTGTACCGATGTGTCCGATGTAAACTGCCAGTAGAAATTATACTTATAGGTAACCTTAATATATTACATGACATGGACATTGCATTGACACACTAGCTCTAGTTGGAAGGTGAACTGTTAGTCGTAGACCGTGTCACGTTAGTTTACCTGCACGCGTAGCACGTTGCCGTCCGAGGTGACGGGCGGTGGTAACGCGGAGCCGCAGAAGGCACCGTGACGCCGGAGCACTTCATCCCCGAGCCGCGAGTGCACGGTCACGCTATCGTATTCGCATTCCTGATACAAAAAAATACAGATTATATGACGGAATAGTGGGTTCCCACTATCGTAACACCTGAATGACGACAATGTTGTTATCCTTCTCATTCTCTTTGAAAAGAACGAGCAAATTAAAGTGTTGCAACAATTGAAAATCACAATAATACTGCGTATATTATGTCATTCGTGAGTTTACCTGATGATACATATTATTCGTGCCCTCCAGATCAAAATGCGTGAAGTTGAGCGTGATGCGGTGCTGCGAGGGCGCCACTATCTCCCACAGACAATTCTTTGACGGCGGATACAGGTCGGGGAACGAAGGAGACGTTATAGTGCCGTTGGGGCCGTACAGCACACCACCACACGCATCTAGAAATTAATGGAGGATACAGCTCCTATGCTTGATACAAGCTATGTCAAGGAGAATAATAAAAGATAAAGAAAAGATAGGGTCTGATGAAGATGAGGGGGAAGGGGACGTGGTGTCACCTTCGGTGTGGTGAGGTGCGAGTGATGATGATGTGAAGGGTGAGTGCGGCGACAGGTGAAATGAGGCACAGTTATATTCACAACACAGTTTATTACCACTCACAGTCCACAACAAATAGTAAGAAGGAGAGTACAACACTGAGAAGAAGAATACAAGTAGGAGAAAGAGAAATGCACAAATTCGGATTACAAAGTAACAAGTTGCGTAATCGAAAGCGTGGTATATCGCGGGCGCTGCAGAACTCCACTCGTCATGCACCCGTGTTTATGTGTGCGTGTATGCGTGTGATGTATGTGCGTGTATGTGTGACTGTGAAGTGTTTGGGAATATGTAGGAGGTCACCTAC